GGTCACCTCCGGGGCAGGCGGGGATCGAACTCATGGGGAAGTGGCTTAAGCTTCTTTGTGCAGTGCTTTAACCCGCTGCGCCACCAGGGAGGGCCAACTATGTGAGCTTTTAATATCTGGCTCTGTCTAACTTGTGTTATGAATGTCTAGAAAATGACAGTTTATTAGAATCCTTTTCATAAAATCTAGTACCTGGATGATGATTTTGAAGAATCTCTCATCACATTGGAACCTGAAGATGTTGGTTCAGTATCTTCATTTTGCCTTCTTAATTCTTTCTCTCTGTTCATTTCTTCCTCTTTTTCTCTTGCTTCTGAAAAGATTAAAAAATATTTCCAACAGTCAGACTTCAGATTTGGCTGAAATAAACATAGCATTACTACTAGCAGCAAAAATCATCAACCTAAATGCCCAACTCTGGGAAAACTGAATTACTATATATCAACATATCAATTTAACATTCCATCGACTAAAAATAGTGATGGAGGTGCAGCACTATGAAAATGGGCTCAGCCTCTTCAGCACAAGTTTGACCCCTGCCAGGGTGGTGACCCACATGGTGCAACAGACCTCTCCTGTCTTGCCACTGATCCCCTCGGCAGTGTACTTCACTGATATGCCTGTTCTGCTCCCTATTCTGTCTCTGTTGAGAATTCACCCCTGGCCTGTACCCCAGTTCTGTATGCATAAGTAAATTTTTTTTTTAAGACTTATTTATTTGTGCATACAGAACTGGGGCACAGGCCAGAGTCTCAGGGGCGGTTGAGAGGCTCCACCAGAGACAGAGTGGGGAATAGAACAGGCAGGTAGACGAAGTATACTGCTGAGGGGAGCAGCGGTCGGGTCAGGAGAGGTCTGCTGCGCCATGTGGTCACCTCCGGGACAGGCGGGAATCGAACTCCTGCAAAAGCGGCTTTAGATTCTCAGTGCTGTGCTTTAACCTGCTGCGCCACCAGGGAGGGCCATAAGTAAATTTTTTAATAAATAAATAAAATAAAAATAGTGATGGGAAATGTATAAATCTGGAGTATTACCAGATGTGCTAAGGCATGGGAGATAATAAGTAAAAAGGAAAGCATTCAAAGATAAGATTTTGACTAATTTCACCTTTTTTAACATTCCCAAAAGGATCTTTTTTAATCACAGCTGACTATGGCAGTATGCAGAAAAGTTTCCATACATGTATACTTAAAAGCATTGTTTAAGTAGCTGTTATAATATTAACCCATAATCTAATCAGAACATCCATGAGCACTTCAACTTTCTCCAAAGTCTTCTAAAAATCTCAACTGATTGGGCCCTCTCTGGTGGCTCAGCGGATTAAAGCACAGCACTAAGAAGCTTAAGCCAATTCCACATGAGTTCGATCCCCGTCTGCCCTAGATGAGATCCACATGGCTTGGCAGACCTCTCCTGACCCACCCGCTGCTCCCCTCAGCAGTGTACTTCATCGATCTGCCTGTTCTGCTCCCCCCTCTGTTCCAGGTGAATCCTCTCACCCTCCGCATCTCTGACCTGTACCCCAGTTCTGTATGAATAAATAAATCTTTAAAAAAAAAAGTCTCCACTGATTTCAAGTTTTGAGGCCTAACTACAGATGGAAAATCTCCCAGATCCTCTTGATTTTCCAAAGAAATCTTGAGCACCTAGATAACTTTCTTCAAATTGTTGAACAACAGAACAGCATCCCACTTTTTAAAGTTTTTAATCCTAAATTTAGTATTATGTTCATTTCTCAATTTCCCACACTGAATTTTTGGCAAGAGACTGCCTAACAACCCCAATGAAATCATGAGAAATTTTCAATTATATAAGGCTTCTAGAATTGTTTACCTTGGAAATTGCTTAGTTTCAATCTTTCTCCTCTGATACTCTGACTCTACAATTGGGGCACACAAGTCTGCTTGTTAGCTGCCACCAACCTCAGTCACCTTTAACAATTTCTCCCTTAATAATGAAAAATGATACACCTGAAATTAAGCAGCATCAAAAGGCCATTTATTAATAGAAATGATGGACTCTTTAGGGTCCCTTGTTGCTAGTAAATAAAGGATTAGGGGAAAGACTATAACTAGCACAAGTAAGTAGTTTTTCATTTCAAATATGAAAGATAAAGCTCTCCAAGATGACATAATTCTAGCTGATGTTGATTTTTCTTCCATACTCTCCACTAGGCTGAGTCAACAATTCTGCATCTGATGCTGAAGGAAGTCGAAAAAAAGGAAAAAGTGTAAAATCCAAATTTAAGAGTGGCTGGCTTAGCCATTGATTGTTCCTTGTCATCCTGCTTCTCCAATCGATCCCTTCACAGCCCCAAGACAGAGTTAGAGGGAGGGAGGCAGTAGGGGATAGCAAGGCAAGTTATACTCGGGTTCTTGGCTCAAGTCTTAGTGGCAGTTCTGACCTTCTAATTCGGAATACCAAGGCTCCTATTATTAGTCATCTACCCAAGGTACATTTCCCCCTTGCTAAGAAAACCACAACTTTCTCCTCCTAAGGCAGCATTGTGCTTCAGGAGATGCTGGGTCCCTCCCTATCCAGAGGGAGCTTGGTTTCAGGTCAACCATATGCTCTGATTCTTGGCAAAGTCAACCATAATGTGCAATACCAATAAGAAGTGAGGGAAGGTGGGCCCTCCCTGGTGGCGCAGCGGGTTAAAGCACTGCACAGAGAAGCTGAAACCACTTCCGCATGAGTTCGATTCCCGTATGCCCCGGAGGTGACCACGTGGTGTGGCAGACCGTCTGCCCCGGAGGTGACCACGTGGTGTGGCAGTCCTCTCCTGACCAGCCCGCTGCTCCCCTCAGCAGTGTACTTTGTCATCTGCCTGTTCTGCTTCCCACTCTGTCTCTGGTGAAGTCTTTCGCCACCCCTGAGTCTCTGGCCTGTACCCCAGTTCTGTATGCACAAATAAATCTTTAAAAAAAAAAAAAAAAAAGAAGTGAGGGAAGGCATGGTAGAAGTACACTTGAAAAAGGCTTTCTTTTCCCTTTTTAGAACATATTTTTTTTAAAAAAAAATACAGTCTCCTTTCAGTCTGCAAATGTAGTAATCAACATATAACAAAATTTCACAGGCAATTTTTAGTCATGAGCAGTCAGTTTAGAGCAAGCCCACACCCTAATACTCGCAAAGCAAAAAGGGTGAAAACCTTACTCCCTTATGTCAGGTTTTAAGGTGGAAGATCCCTATTCCAGAGTCCTTGTCATGTGCTACGCTGTATTTCTCATAAGGAAGCCAAAAGCCTTCTAGCTACGCTGTATTTCTCATAAGGAAGCCAAAAGCCTTCTAGGGCCAGCCTTAACTTGACAGTAATAATAGCAAATAGTTATATAGAGCTTACTATATACCATTGTTTTAAGCACATCCTATAAATTAACTTTTTAATCTTCATAAAAATCTCCATAGAAATCTTTTTCAGCTTTTATTGCCGTATAATTGACACATAAAATTGTGTCTTACAATTTTACTTTAAAATATACAACAAAATGATTTAATACATTGTGAAAGGACTTGCCTCATGGTGCCAATGAACACATATTTTTACTACCACTTTTTTTATGAGAACATTTAATTCTACTCTTGCACATTTTAATTATACAAGGTGAAGGAGGCACTATTATCCTCACTACACAGCTGAGGCGTGTAAGGCACAGAGAAGTTAAATAACAGCTATTTGGCTCCAGAGCAGTAAACTAGACTCAGGCTACAAAGAACTGTCCTTTGCTGCTTTCTTGTCACCAGACTATCTAGAAATTGTGACCCACCCCCATCTAAACTTTAGAGCCCCTCATCAGCAATTAAATACAGCAAATGACTGCTGAATCCCAGTGAAGTATCTAAGTTTTCGATTTAAAAACTTTTTTATACTAGCAAGGACTTTCTATTCAAAAGAAACAAGTCTACTTGTTTCTTCATTAAACAGAGGAAAAGCAAAAACATTTTAGGGGAAAACTAATTGTTCCCTCATTAATGGCTAAGGATAAAAACCAAAAGAAAAAAAGTCAAGAGACTGTAGCAACCTGACAAAGAGGTGTGCTTCATGCATTTTCATTAAGTGTGGAATCAGGCACACTGTATACCCTGTAGCAATGCTTCTGCCTTCCCTTAACAAAAATGAATTAACCGGCCCTCCCTGGTGGGGCAGCGGGTTAAAGCACAACACTGAGAATCTAAAGCCGCTTCCGCATGAGTTCGATTCCCGCCTGCCCCGGAGGTGACCCCATGGCGTGGCAGACCTCTCCTGACCTGCCCGCTGCTCCCCTCAGCAGTGTACTTCGTCGATCTGCCTGTTCTGCTCCCCACTGTCTCTGGTGAATCCTCTCACCCTCCGCATCTCTGGCCTGTACCCCAGTTTTTTTAAATAAATAAATCTTTAAAAAAAAATGAATTAACCTATTCCCTAACACCTTAATTACCTGCTATCTTTCTACGTCCACATAGCTACCAATTTTGGAGATCTGTAAAAGTATGTTTTCTATATGACTTTTGTCTAGCTTAACAGCAAACTATCCAAAAGTAGTATTATCATCGGTACTGACTCACACAAACTGCAGATTCAAATTCAAATTAATGCAATTTATCACCTTGGAAATCTCAATCATTTTAACAACGACTTAGCTAAAAAAAAATGTTAAGATGAACAAAATATTATTTTTAGAAATATACACAAGAGTAAACAGTATCGAATCATTTTTTTATCCGTTACTTTAAATCTTGCTAAATGTTTCATTTGCTAATCTGATGTATAACGACTGTTTTACCAATTTCATGAAAATTTAATTTTATGTTTAATGTTGAAATACTAGTAAATTAAAAATGAGAACACAGAAACTATGTTAAATTTCTCCATTTAAATATATAGGAACAGGGCTCTCCCTGGTGGCACAACGGGTTAAAGCATGGCATATGAAGCTCTCCGAAGCCACTGTTCCACGAGTTCAACCCCTGGCCAGGGAGCTGAACCACACCGAGTGGCAGACCTCTTCTGACCAGCCCACTGTTCCCCTCAGCAGTGTATTTCAGTAGATCTGCATGTTCTATATGCATAAATAAATAAATCCTTAAAAAAACACACACAAAAAAAATAAAGTGTATGGAAACAAAAGCAAGGAAGCTATATACAGAGTGATTTTGAAATAATACCCATAGAGGTAAAGTAGTGAGGCCTTAAAGAATGAGGTAGGATTAACTAGGAAAAATGTTTCGGGTAAAAAAAAATTAGCTCTGGGCCCTCCTTGGTGGCGCAGCAGGTTAAAGCACAGCACTAAGGAGCCTAAGCCACTTCCGTATGAATTCCATCCCCACCTGCCCCGGAGATCCACATGGCGTGGCAGACCTCTCCTGACCCGCCCACTGCTCCCCTCAGC